AAGTTGAGCATAGATGATGCCAATTTTGGTCAAAGGTGATGACGTCAGAAGTGGAAGAAAGGCCAAGGCTTGTCACGGCTGGTTACGGCCAGCACAGGAGTCAATGGGTTAAGGAGGTGACCCTAAGGCAGGGTTCCACTGTATCTTAGGAAATCTGTTCTTCAGTGTAGAATTAAAAGTAACTATATGGTGATGGTTTAAAATGATGTTTTCCAATGGACATGTGAAGGATTAAATATAATAGTCAGGTAAGGTAATATGTCGTGTTAGAAGTAAAATACTTCACGAGAAATGCTACATAACAACATCAGGTGATCAACAAAAAGAAATAAGGCATCGAGTAATAAAAAGAATTTCACTCATTTCAAAGTGAATTTTTTTTCCCTGAAAAATGGATAGTCTGAGACATTTTGTTTTCACACTGCGAGTCAGATTGTGCAAAAAGTACTACAGTGTGTGTTACCAGGCCTCTAAATACAAATACGGCTAAACAAAACAGTTCTTGACTTCAAAATATGTCCAAAATATGTCATATATCAAATTCCCTAATTTCAGACTGCTTCATTGCCATTACTTCTCTCCTAATCCAACAACAATAAAAGGTAAAAGAGGCCTACTTCTTGAAAAAAAATGAGATTTGAGAATTTCTGGGCATGACCTAAATCAACGAGCCTTTGTCAGCACAGAACAATTTACAATAAGGCAATTTTCAGAATGCAAATTACCCAATTACAAAAAGATAGTTATCCCATAACTTAACAATAACGTAACTCTTTCAGTGGGTTTTGAGAGAAATCAACATCTGATTTTGTGACTCTGAGTGTGAATGTAGAGTTTTCTAAACAATATAAACAACCCAACATTTACTATTAAAACTGTCTTCAATAAGGATGCTATCATTGATGATAACTGTGTACACACTCCCAGAGACTCTAGAGAAATACGAAGTGAGACAAGTGTAGTGTTTTACCATTTTGGATACAGTAGAGAAGTTTTTTTGAGAACCCCATGTTATGACATTGCTGCTTATGGCTAAAGTACATTTGAATATCATTAATGTAAGATGAGTAATTTGTACTAGAAGAGCACTTTGCAGTTCTGATTTAGGAATCAAGCAATTTCAATAACCAGATTCCATAAGCTCAAGTAATGCTAGGTTAAATTACAAATAAATCCAAATACAATTATTTAATCTAAATCAATCCCATGTAAAACATATTGTTCAGTTGTTATCCTACCTAGTATTGCCCACATACCTTAAATCAACTTCCACAAAATTAAAATGAAAAGATGTTCTTAGACTTAAAATGGTGTGTGTATCATTACACCCAGTGCTACTTTGTAACAACGCTACAAGCCCTAATACAAAACTTTGAGTAGCTCTAGATCAATTTACACTATGGTACAACATTCCTGGTCAAAATTAAGATTCCTTCTCCTCATGCACGGAAAAAAAAGACAAGACATTCTATTCCACTAATGTTCTAACAACAACAGCAGCTCTGAAGTATATGAAGCTGCTTAAGCTTAAAAGCTAACAAAGACTTTTTGCAAATCATTTGAAACAAATGAAGAGCAATCTTTCCATAAATGACATTGTATCAACAAACAAACTATTGAATTGTAAAATCGTATTGGTCATAGAGATCAGACAAGTGAACAGGAAGCCATACCTTACAATACTAAACATGCAAATTGTGCTGATACATCACAGCAAACATATGAAATCCAAAATTCAGACTCACAGGTTAATTGATAATCATGTTTGTGCTTTAGAAACTGAAAAAAGCTTGGTTAAAATTCTGCAGCTAAGCTTAATTATTTAAACCTCTCTGATAAATTGAATGGCTAGTTTCTTGTAAGCCATTGAAATCGTTTCCTACATCCAAGATCTAATTCAGACAAAATTCATTAATAAATGATAGCCTTGATTTAACATTCAGCTCCCTGAGATGCATAAATTACCGCTTTGTGCTGCCAAAGTCAAGGTCCTGTTTTAAACTATAATTGAATAGAATTAAATATGCTCCAAAATAAATGACGAACAACCATTCACTTTGAAACACATACAGCTCCAAATAGCAAACAAAAACTGTCTGTTAAATCTGTTACATCTTAATGAAAACACCTGCCTACAATCAATGCAGCACTATGCTTGATTTTTCGTTACCCAAAGCAATCAACAAGTTCCAAGGCTTTCATTTCACCTCAAACACCAATAAGGAGTGTATCTAGTAAGTGCTATGGTAATTCAGTAGTTCCATAAAAAACAGTAAGCCCAGTTGCCAGCTTGCCACTTTGTTACGAGGGTATTCATTATGGAACACAACAGGTGATAAAAAGCAAGTGATTTTTACAATCATCCAGCTCCTTCCAATCAGTTGTATACTTTGTCGCTCTTTTGGATTTTAGTTCACATCAGGATTATTGTCATACAATTTCAGAATACATATTTTCTAGTCAGTTCCAAATTGAATGTTGGCTCATGTCCACTGTACATTTGAAATACATTATGTCCAATCAACACAGACCAAAAAGAACAGAAAAAGGATTATGGATTCTTGAGCACAGATACTGTTTTGAGACTTAAAATTGCACCTAACCCCCAAAATGTTCTTTGCTAAAATGAATCCATTTGCTATTTGAAGCATTTGGCCAAAAAAAATTTTGAATTTGGTTGAATCCTCAATTTTCTATGCCCTTTCAAAGTAGCACTTGAATTGTTACGTTACCCCGTTTAAGGAGTCAGGGGTGGCGGTTGCTGATAATGTCTACCCAGGAACCAAAAACAACAGCGCCTCAGTCAGCTTTCTGTATTTGCTTGAGAAAATGGAAAACAAACTAATAGTTCCCATATAATTTGCGGCTTAAATGTCCAGGTTTTGTTTCAAAATCATTTCTTTTTCGTCACTGGAGTCAGAGTTAAGCTTTGATTTGGAAGACTCCGAGATAAACTTTGATCAAGCATGTTTGACAACTGTGAACTCCCTGCTTAGAGCTTTGCGAACAATTTGCAATATTTCAAGCGACAACGGGAAAGACTTCTTTGCGGACAAGCTGCTTGTATATTAGGAATGGAAAGCTACAATCCTGGTCAAAAATCTTGGGACACTTTGCATTTTTGCCAAATAATTATGCTCTTTCTGTCCACCTCCCCCTCCCCTCCCCACCCCCAACACAACATTGTAGCCTGCGAACAGGCTCCCAGCAAGGACGGAAAAAAATTCTGGCAAGCGTGAAACAGAAGAATTTGGAGAGCAAAGCGACCGGGGCGGGGACAGGGGAGCCTGTAGACTTTGTTTTTGATGCGCCTATCCGCCCTTGGTGACAAGCCTGTAACAAATCAGTCAATGAGGTAATTAGACCTGTCAAGAAGCTACATTTTCGGTAATTGCAAACAGTTCTAATCCAGCTAATCAAATAGCTGGGCCAGACATCATAATATAGAGTGCAAATAAGCAACATGTTCACAGAATATTTCAAACACTTTGTCCCTCCAGAGCCAATACTTAGAGAGCTTAAAACATGTTTTGCAATACTGAAATGAGCCTAAAGAAATTGTAAGTACATGAAAGAGGTGTCACACTCTGCAAAGCAACAAGCAGATAACAGCGGAAAGTCAGGAAACCATGCCTTTGACCTCTAAAAAAATTGTTATGGCACCGCCAAACGGCTCCACTCCACTAGCTTCTGCTTAAAATTCCTCCTCGTAACAGAGCATAAAGTACCCTTCAGAATCACTTGCGAAATAATGAGGTCGAGAGACCAAAACTTAAAAGAGAACGGCAAATGCACTATTGTAACGAACCATTGGAGTCGCAAGGATCCAAAGATCTGTCAAATATTGATCTCAAAGACGTCAGGGGGGGGGGNGGAGTCAAAAGTCTTGAAACACTTTTCCCAACATATGGTCGACTTTCTGTCCACCTCCCACTCCCCACTCCCAACATAATGTTGATGTTGATTCATCCAAAGTAGACCCACTATTCCAACATTACTTGGGGGGGGGGGGGTCCCCACAAATTAAATAATTACTTCTCACTTCAAAATATTATGTCACCAGTTGTCATTTTGTCAAGTGTCCCAAGGACTTTTAGCCAGGATTGTAGATATGAAGTGGAGAAGCAGGCAAACGAAAAGCAGGAAAGAAAACTTAATGACTGCTTTGAGTCAGTTGGATGGTAATTTTGTCTCCTAAATACAAGATCTGTTCTTAGCAAGAATGTATTTCATTAAGGTAAGGTTGTTCTATTAAATCCAGTTTGTGTTTTACTTTCTGGAATGCTTCATGTTTATAAGATCGACCGAAGTGTTGCAGTGTTCAAGACTTGATGGCCTCCACATGTAGGTACTCTTGTGGCATCTTCTTTGAGCGGCTCTTTGCTCTAAAATTTGATCCTTTCACAGAAGCGAGCTTCTATTTAACGTTTAGTCCATCAACTCAATGGATATTGTTTTAGCTTGGAGAGGTAAAGAAAAGGTACTGGAGCAATAAAAAAGTAGTCATAAGGTGGGGTTTGACCATAATAACATTCACAAGAGAATCCTACCTGAAGGTTCCAGGTGCCTTGTCATCCTCTCCACTTTGCTTAGGGGAGGGCTTAGGAGATTCATGTCCTTGTTCTTCCTGAAGTACATTCTTCAGTTCTTCTCCTGTTCCTTCTTCAAAGGGTGAGCCTCCTTTACTACCTTTGCTCTCTCCATTAGGTTTAGATCCCTTATCTGACAAGACATCAGACGATGGAGACGTTCCCTGCCAAAAATTAACTCTCCATCAGATTTGGGTCCCTTGTCAGACAAAGCATCAATGCAAAGTATGATTTATGCAAACTAATTTCTTACTCTAACCCAGAATGCAACGAAAAAAGCACCCTTATATAGTGCTGGTCACATGCAGGTTAAAAAAAGTGAAGCCTTGGAGCTGACTGGCTCATAGCTCCCGGAGCTTATCCTGGTTTGTGTAGCATGAAGTAGCTAGGAGTAATTCTACTCCACCTGAACAGGATGCTAGTCCATCGCAGGTCACTCCCCTGCAATTTGTTAGGTTTCCCAACAATTCGCCGGTACCCAATATACTCCTGGGTGGAGAGAAGTACTCTTAGAATAAAGAGTCTTGCCACACGCAGGTACAGTAACATCACCTAAAATTCAAATGACTTGATCTACTAACAGTTGAGTGATTCAAAGAACTCCTTCAGCCTTGAGCACAGTGTTGGTGATCACAAGCGCAATATTTTGCGTGACAAAAATAGTTTGATTTTCTCTTATCAATGTAAGGCTCATAATTGCAAGAAAATTTGCAGATTTCTGCTACAAAGTCTGTGCACACAAACTGTTTTAACTTTTTAAATTCCCTGTTTGCTGATATGTTTTTTGGTTAAAGAATTATCAATACCACGTGTGATGTCACTTCGCTTTATGGTCCATTTTGTGCCCATTGTGCCCGTTCCTATCGTTTATGTCACTCTCATTGTTCCTTCCATCATGCCTTGTCATTCCAATTGTGCATGTCGTTCCCAATCGGTCCTTACTAGTACGAGTTCCTACAATCATTCTAACACAGTAGGTGTTAGACATCGTTCCCGACATGTAAGCATATAGATGACCACATTTTGTCCTGCCTTGCATGTCCTTCCTGGTTTGAGATGGTTGTCCCATTTGGGTGTATTAAATAAGTAAAAATCAATTAATATCTTAATCTTCTTCATTAGGAGACATTCTAAAAACAGCTACTCATATTTCTTCACGAAATGACATTTGATCCCTTTGCAGAGCTTGTTGCCTAGTGTGTGACAGAAAATCTTCCCACCTCAAACGTTTTTATCAGCCAAGAAATCTTACAATTTGTGCCATGCCATTTTGCACTTTGTCTACAAAAAAAAATTGGGTTACAGTTTTTTAATAAAAGCAGAATTTGTTACCATTGTAGTGAAGCTTATATCATTCATTCTTGTCTCTCTTCAATATCGATGGACACTGGTGTTTCTTCCTTTTTGCTGCATTATTTTCAGTGTTTCAGCCAGACAATTTTACTTGAGGTTCAAAGTGGCCCCTGAAGACCCTTTTCAGAGGCCAATTGTCAAAGAAAGGGGCCAATAAATAATGATTGGTAAACAATAGTCACCAAATGCAAATTTGTGGTTGCCAGGATCTGTGCATTACAAGAGAACAATCCACAGCATACACAGGGTTCGTACCCTTTTTCAGAAACAAATTTCCAGGACTTTTCCAGGACTCAGATTGATTTTCCAGGACTCTAAAATTCACATTAACCCTTTCACTCTCAAGATCTCAATTTTAATTCTCCTTACTGTCTGCCATACATTTCATATTTTTTAATTGAGTTTAACTGATTTCATGTGGCTAAATATGATTTAGGCAAAGTTAGACTCAAACCAATACAGTCAGCGGTTTCCCCTTTTACAGTACATGACTTGCAAGGCGGCCCTTTGGAGATTTGCAGAGCTGTTGTGTCACATTGCATTGCACGTACTGTGCTGCCAGCTGATTGTTGCGGATCATTTGCTTTGTATTTTGGCGAATCTTTGCGGATTCTCGCTCTAAGTATTGCTTGTTTTGTCGCTGCTTGACGTGATGCACACCAGCAACACGCTTAACAACCGGTCAGCGACTTACGATGCCTTGTCTCTCGTGCCAGAATCCAAGGAAATTCCTCCGCCACCGGTTTCAATGCCATTGGATTCTAGCGTAGCTTCAACAGCTCTGTCCACTATTCCTTCATCTGTGTTATCGCCAACATCTCTCGCCTTTCTGGCCGCCGTTGCAAACGCTGTCCAGCAAGTACCTTCGGCCCAGCCAGTCGCAAGCCATCCTAATTCTAGTTCTTCCATGAGTGTGGCCATTTCCAGAGGTGTTTCTGCTCCGCTGGCTAATCCTAGCCAACTTGTTGCCCAAGCTTTGTCTTTTGCTGCTTCTGGCGTTGGCTTTGCGTCCTCTCCACCAGCCAAGGCGACTCCTCTTGCTTCAGGTAGGCCAAACTATTTTGTTGTCCCTACCCTTGTGTCGACCTTCTCCACTCCAATTCCATCGCTCGCACTCTCAGCATCTTCCAGCACTGTCAATGCGGCTTTTCCCTTGAGTGCTGTTAGGGCTACACCGTTGGCTCTGTTGCCTGTTTTGCATCAACCGTTTGTGGTGGGCCCTGGGTTTTCCCCTGTTCCGGCAAAGTTAGTCAGTCAGATCGTGGCTGGGAGGTTCGTTGAACTCCACGAGTTGCTGCCCTTCAACATTGTTCTCACAGAGCCTGAGCCTCAGTTGCTGTTCGATGGGCGCCTTGTGTTAACATCCTTGCCGAAGAAACCTAAGCGGCGCATCGAAGATATTTCCACATCGTTGAAGGCTTTCTCTGTTTACTGCCTTATCATTGTGTTGTACTTCCCTCATCGCTGGAGAGATCTCCTGCAGTATCAACTCCTGATACTCCGCACATATTGCCAGTTCTCCGGTTGGGTTTGGTTGTCCTACGACCGAACGTTTAGAGAGAATGCTGCGGCAACTAACCTGACAGATTGGTCTCAACTTAACAGCACGCTGTTCAGCTTTCACTCGGCTGGCTGGTCCTCGCGCTCTCCCCGCGATTCTTTGGATGGCCAAACTGAGCCCCGCGGTGCTGCTTCTTCGCAGATCATTTGCAAATCATGGAACCGGAGTCATTGCGTAGCTTCCTCAGCATCGTGCCGTTTTGCTCACAAATGTGCCAGCTGTCATGACCCACACCACGCTGGAGTTTGCCCAGCTGAGACGCCCACCAAGCCCAGCTCGTCCTCTAAGCGTTCTCCTGACTCTCTGCCTCCCTGGTCCAGCAGCAAGTCCCGTTGTGTGTAGACTCACCCACCCCCCTTTTGCACTGTTTCCATTATTGAGTATTTTTGCCCCCAGTTTTTTAGCCATGCCCCTTGGGGATCTAGGACTAAATGTTGTATTTGCAGCCGTTCTCGTGTTATTAAAATTGATTGTTTCTGTTTACCTTGTCTGTTCATCTGCATAACTCAGGGGGCTCTGGGAGGGCTATTTAGGCCTTCTTGGGGCTGTGATTTACCAGCACTTGTATCTCCTGTTCTTTTTCCTTCCTAGTCGGACTCCCCCCAGTTTCTGCAGTCACCCCCTTGCAAGCAGAGCAGTTTGCCTGGGAGTTGCGGTTTCATCCCAACCGGCAGAAGGTTTCTTTTGGGTTTTTCTCCCTCCCAAAAGCTCAAGTCTGCGAAGAAAAACAAGCCATCTGCAGCTCAACATCCCTCTGTGGTTGACAAGTATTTGGCCAATGAGGTTTCCCTAGGTAGGGTGGCAGGTCCTTTCAGTGTTCCTCCCTACCCGAATCTTCATGTTAGCAGCTTTGGGATTATTCCCAAAAGAGGCCAACCAGGGAAGTGGCGCCTCATCGTGGACCTTTCCTCCCCAGGGGGG